TGCCTGTCTTAGGCGGTCAGTGCGAATTCCTCCGTCTTACCTGTCATCGAGACTCATTGCAGCATGGCAACGGCTCTGTCTTAGGTTGCCGAGGTTCCACGTGATCCTTACCTTAGACTACAGTTTTTTTAAATTTATTTTTATAATTACATAGCAAGAGGCGGTATCATGACAAGACTTAGGCATAGTGGGACCCAAAAGAACTGACTATAGTACCAATCAGTTAGATGACCCTGGAAAAGTCACTCTTAATAATAACCTCAATGATAACTGGTTTAATTACTACCTAGTACAAGGTAGGCATTATATTAGTCAACTTAATCTACATATGTCATTCATTTAATCCTTATAGCCACCTTATGAGAACTAAAGTGTTATCCTATTTCATACATGTGGTTCAGAGTGTTAAGTAATTTGCCTAAGAACACAATGAAGCCAGTTATCTGTCTCCAAAGCTTGTGCCCTTAACTGCCACAGTTAAGCAATGTCTATAGTCCTGTCACAAATCTTTATCATTCTAAATGTTAACTATTAACTTAGGGGCACTGGAATCCAAGGCAGCATTTGGCATCATCCTTACCCAAGTCTGCAATGCCCACACCTAAATTCTTCCCCATATTATCTATCATGTTGGTTACCTTGGCTTCTGCTGATGACAGGTTTTCTCATATCCAAAGTGCAGCATGAATCTGGTTAAAGTGGAACAGAGTATTGAGGAGTACTAAACAACAACAACCAAAGGAATCTATTATGTGAGATGTTTACTAACTACCTGTCACTACATATTTAACATTAGATGGTGCAAGTTTTAACAAGCGTGAGTTCACTTCTTTAACAACATTCTTTCCAATAACTTCAGAGGCCAACAAATCTTTTCACACCAGTATTTGACACAAAAATAGAAACTGACACTGAGCTGGTTAATAAATATAATCAATAGGTTTTCTGATGTGTGTGTGGGGGGGGCGGTTGGGAAGAGAGGAGGGAGTTTACCCTGTAATTATTTGAAAATGAATACTGGCATCAATTAAGAGGCAGAGTGGTAAATTGTTCACTGTTATCTATTTCCTGCACTGTCATGAGGAATCTTACCGCTTTCCCTGTCAGGAGACTCTCGGCAGAAGTCTAGCACATAAGCCAGCAGGTACAGTGTGCGTCTATCCCAGCAACATATTGGACCTGTATTTCCTCTGTTACTTTTTCTGTGCAGAAAGCTCAAAAGCTTTGCATAAAAACTGGATACCTGACTATCCTCACCTTCCCTGTAGAGTTTGGAGCTAAGAGAGGAGACAAAGTGGTTCTTTTTCTAAGCATTACCACCCAATAAGCCACTCTTACCTTTGCTTAGGCACTTTTGCCTGTCTTTCTCTCACTACCCTATTAGCTCCTTGAAGCCTTCACAAAAATACATGTGTTTGTAACTATATTTTGTAATAAATACACACATGTACACAAGGGGGATCCAAAAAGTTTGTGGGGGAAATGCCGTTATCTTTTAATTCTCTTTTTCCATGAACATTTTGAAGTTCTCTTGTACATACAGTCATACATTGCTCAATGTCCATGATAAATCCTGTGATATAGACCTTTATGTGATTTAGACTTGGTGTGGATACATTATTATATATAGGCAGTGCCCAGATTATGAATATGTTCCATTCCCAAATCTGTCTTTAAGTCAAATTTGTATGTGAATCGAAACAGATACCATTCATACCTAAAGTCAGTCAGTCAGTCAAATGTTACTTAGTATAGAGTATACCTTTCTATGCCCAAAAAGCACATTAAAGAAACATTTCTAGATTCACTAAAATATCTTTTACTGAATAACACAGTAATTACAGTAATATTCTGATGTGTGTTGCAAAGCAGTGCCATTTGTTATTTTGAACCATTTTATGTACCTCAAATTTTTAATATAATAGCCTTTAGGGGTGCTGGGACCATGGATATATATGCAGTAATTTGTTACCCAATTATGTGACACATGAGTATGAGTGTAAGTGTGTGTGTGTGTGTGTGTGTGCGAACTTTTTGAAGCCCCCTCATTTATTATTTCATCCAGCCTTTTTAGTTGTCCATAATAAGAGCTGATCTGAAAAGGGATTCATTGTAGAGTTCAAAGAAAATTGTGTCCAGATTAGTAAGTATATCATCACCCAAAAGTTTGGAAACTTATTTATTTTAGGCATTTGCTTTTATGGTTTTTAGGAGCTCTAGTTTCTAGTTCCTTTATCCTAAACTCTTATGCTCTTATCTTACATAGACTATTGCATAGTTGAAAGCGTATGAGTAGGATTTGGAGTCAGACAAATATGAGTTAAAAATACCAGCCATAAGAGTCAAAGCTGGGTCAGAATCACAGAAGGCCTGAACTAAGACATCTTTTGGGCACTGTTCCTGGCTGGCTGCTCTCTGTTGGGAGAATGAAAATCTCCTAGAAAAATGGCTATTTTCAGTGATCTCAACATTACCAAGTCTTCCTTGTCAGTATCCTTATGAGTATGCATATATGTGTCTGTGTACCCAAAGATAGACTATATCTAACATCAGATCCCTTTCTGCTACACTGGTTCTCAAATGAAGAATACCCAGTACTGAGCAACAGTCTGAAAAAATGAGGCAATAACAAATGGGTTCACTCTACAAAAGCAAAATTGCAATGGTTGTATTCATTTCTTAGGGATACCATAGCAAATTACTATACATTTGAATGACTGAAGACAATAAAAAGATATTGCCTCATAATTCTCGAGGCTAGAAATCCTAAATTAAGGTGTCAACAGCATCATGCTCTCTTTAAAGCCTCAAGGGCAGTATCCTTTCTTGCCTTTTTCTAGCTTCTGATGGTTGCAATGCTTAATGTTTCTTGACTTATAGATGAATTACTCCAATGTCTGCCCCATTGTCAGATGGGTTCTTCCTATGTCTGTATCTGGGTCTAAATGTCCCTCTTCTTTTAAGGACACCAGTCACTGAATTAGGGCCCATTCTGGTTCTGTGGGATATGGGCTGGACCACAAGGTCAGTTTGAACTACAAGGTCTACAGTTCAAATTCATCAGCCACTCCTCAGAAATCCTACACAGGGTTGCTATGAGTTACAACAAGGAGCTCTGGTAGCGTAGTGGTTATGAATCGGGCTGCTAACCTCAAGGTCATCCATTCAAAACTACCAGCTGTTCCACAGGAGAAAGATGAGGCTTTCTGCTCCTGTAAAGATTTACAGCCTCGGAAATCCTCTACAGGGTCGCTATGAGTCAGAACTGACTCCACGGCACATAACAACAACGTAAGTCACAATATTAACTGATGCTGTGCATAAAGCACTGGACCACAAGGTCAGTTTGAACCATAAGGTCAGTGGTTCAAATTCACCAGATGCTCCTTGGAAACCCTATACAGGGTCACTATGAATCAGAATTTACTCAATAGCATTTAACAACAACAACAACAACAACAATTCCAGCATGACCTTATCTTAACTTGCTTACAGCTACAAAGATGTATTTCTTAAGTATTTCCAAATAAGATCACATTGACAAATATCAGGGATTAGGAGTTGAACATACCTTCATGGGGACACAATTCAACCCACAACAATGGTTTTTCAAAGTATGGTATCTATGGAATTGTTTACGTTATGTGAAACAGGTAATGTTATCTTCAGGATTCCTCAACCCCTTCTTCCTGGGTTCCCTTTCTGCTGTTGGTGCCAGGTGTCCCATGGCATCCCTAGAGTACAAACATGAACTTCACATGTGTGTTCTGGAGCTCACAGACAGATTACTCAATTCCAGGCCGAGTCAGTTTTCAATGCATATTTTCCTTATGACCTACATACCGTTTCATTTTGCATTGCATTATAGACTTGATTTCATGCCAGTCATCTGACATCCCAACAATCCTGAGAAGTAAGCAAGATAGATATTATCTTTACTTGACATCCAAGGAAGTTTAGGCATAGAGACATTACATGACTTACCATTAAGTCATAGAAATGGCTGGGAGAGTGGAAGTCTTCATTATCAGGCCAGGGGGCTTCCTATAAACCAAACATGACCAAGGAAACTATCTTGAGACACTTAAAATAATAAGGATTAGAAATTTATTCACTTGAATTGCAATCTTTCTGTCTGGTGTATTAGGAATACACCTATCTGGGTTTTGGAGTCCTGGTGTGGCACTGTGGGCCAGACTGCAAAGTCATTTGAACTGCAAGGTCAGTGGTTCAAGCTCATTAGCTGCTCCTCGGAAACCCTATACA